CAGTGTCTGTTTTGGTGTCTGGGAACTGCCTTTCTCCTCCAGACTCAGAGCAGAAGTGGCAGCAAGGATTCCCTTCACCACCACAATGGAGTGGCCAGAACTCTGCAGCTGCTGAATAGCTCCTGCTAATCTCTGCCCCTGGCTCAAGCTGGAGACAGCAGAGCTAGCACAAGGTATTAGGATTAGGTGCCAGCAAGGAAAAATATTTACTCAAGAACTTTGAGTTTTCTTGCCCTTCCAGTTCTATTTAAAGTAGCTAGTACACTTTTAAAGATTGACCTGCTACAAAGACGGCACACACTGACTTTGAGCACACACTGGAAGCCGTGTGCTGAATGTTCAGCACAGCTTGGCAGCAGGAAAGGCCTTCCCAAGTGATTCTGCACTGCCCTAGTTACAGCAAAAATAACCAGTGGCAAAGGCTTGCTGTGTGTTCATCTTATGTCTGCTCTGCTACTCTGGGGCACAGTTAATCTGTAACTAAGTCATTTCACTTGTGAGAAAATCCTGTGTGAAATCAGCATTCCTATAGCATATGGTTGGTTTCAGGTTTTTTTTATGGATAGGTATTTGTTCTGTGAGGAAATGGAATGGGAATGGTATCACCTGAGTGAAATACAGTGATTCCTTGTTTGTAACTAGGCAGTGTTTTCCCACAGTGTCCCCTGGAAAATGGCATTCTGCTTTTTCTTGTCTGGGTTAGCATCTTGTGTAAACCTGATGAGGCAAACCCTGGCTGCTTCCATCAACCAGGATATTTAGAAGTGTTTGACCTTAAGCAGGAATTTATTTTATGTATTTATGATGATAATTACAAAAGATAAATCTGGGTGACTTCTTTTTAAAATGTCAGCACATTCACCAAGTATTTGGAGCGTTTCTGAACAGCTCTGAGGCAGAGCTATTCTGGTCTGCAAGGCAGCTCCATGGCATTCAGTTATTCCTGTCAGCCTGCTGCAAGGTGTAGGAAACACTCTCTTCTCTGCTTGTTTTTGTGGCAGTTTGAGGAAGACACCATGGCATTGTGCCTGTGTCACAGAGCAAAGAACCCTTTCAACTTTATTTCTCATTACTCTGCAGTAATTGCTCAGTTCACGGAAATTAGGAGCCATGAAGAAGTAGGAGAAGATGCTTCACCCAAAGAAATCAAGTCCCACTTCACCAAAATAGCCCTCTCGCTCTTCTCTGTGTTCCATGGGGTTGGGGGCACTGTGCCTGCGTTCCCAAACACAGGTCACACTTCAGTTCAAGACCAGCAGTGCCTGTGGGGGCCTGGTGAAAGCCCTTGCAGGGGGGCAGGAATTGCAAAGGTAGGAAAGCTGAATTGGAGCTTAGAGAAGCCCCTGGGTAAAACAGCAAAGATGATTCTGGTAAAGGGAGCCTGTATTTCTGTCAGTGTACCAATTATGTGGGTTTAGTAACAGGCTGTCTTCAGGGCTGGCTATCCCACTTTTGTCATGTGTCAGAAAAGGAATGAAATGCCAATATGGTGGGAAGAAAATTTTACTATTCTCAAGCTCACCTTCTATTTTTAACTGAAATTTCTGTGGTGGAAGCTTTTTTGCCAAGTAGTTGAGCGTGTCTGAATGTACAAACTAAGACTTTGTGTCTGTTTATCTTGGCAGTGGTGAGCTTCTCAGCACAGCAGTCTGATTTAAATCTCATTTACACAAGAAATTTGCTTTGTTAGTGCAAGTAAAGTCTTTGCACAACACACAAAGAAGTAACTTTCACAGGGTTTCTCCTGAGACGTCCTCTTGTGGGGAACGTGTGTCAGTGTGTGTGAGATTTTTCTTCTGCTTATGGCTTATTCCCACGTAAAAAATTCAGCTCATTACCATACCTGGCCATTTCACAAAAATCTCTAGTAACTGTGATTAGAAATTGACTGGTTTATTCTTTATATTCTTAGACCTGGAATTTGTGTCCTGCACTCTTTAAGAGGTGCTGAATTTGTTGAAGAAATCTCTAGCTGTGGCTGTTTTCTGTTGCTTTCAAGGGGTAAGATTTTTACTGGTAGCTGGTCAGAAACCTGGCAGTTTTCATCCTGTGGGCTCTGTTGCTGTTTGTTCTTTTCTTGCTGGTTGGTTTCTCAAACTGATTTGAACAGAGCAGCTGTAGAAAATGGTTGGTTATCTTGATCCTGGTTGTCACAAGTCAGAAAAATGTCACCTGTAAATATTTAATGAACCTTTGTGCAGCTGACCTGATCAAGAACTGAGTAATGATGTGGTTGCAGGAGTTGTGGCTTCTGTAACCCGGATCTGCAAGGAGTAAGAGAGCACCTTTCCTTTGCCAGGCTTTGTATTGTTGCTTGCTTTGGTCTTTGATGTTTTAAGTAAGTGGTGTTAGTTTGGAGCTCTGCCTTAGCAGCCTCCTCTTTCTTAGTTGCTTTGGTTTTCTGTGTGATTTCTGTGTGGGCTTTCTGCTCCTTGTAGAAAGGGAGCAGAATTCTCAGTAAACAAAAACTGAGCTCTTCTCTTCCCTATATGTGCAGACAATAACTCCCCACCCTTTTATGTTCTTGTAGATTTTTGGTTAATTTTTGCACTCTCCCCCTGTGCTGTGGGGCGAGTTCAAACCCACTTCAGAAGAGTGGGGTGAGGAAAGGGTCTTACCCAAAAGAATAAATCAAAAATGCTCTCAGAATTATATGAGTTGGAACTTAATAATACTACTATAGTTGTTCTAAGAGAAAAGTAATGAAGCATGGAGAAACAGCCTTGATTTTCAGCAGGCTGGTAACTATTGAAGTCCACCATTCAAATCCTCCAGGGAGTATGGGATAAAGTTAGGATAGCTGTGTCTGTATCATGTTCTTGTAGGTTTTCAGGTGCTTTCCCCAGTGCCTGATTTCTGGTGAAGTGTCAGTCTGTGGGCAGCTACATGTGACACGTTAGACTACTGTCCCATGTATTGTATCAGCACACTGAATAATTAATATTCTCTGGAAAGGATTAGTTTCCTCCACTTTTGTCTCTTCCTTCTTGGTGCCCTGTATGTGCTGCCAGTCTCTGGCAGAACCTTGCTATTTCAGATTTCCTTTTCCAAGAAGCACTGGTGCTGCAGCACAAGCACATCAGTATGGTCTCTGTGCTGTCGGCTGCCACCATGCAAAGCAAATTGGTCACATTTCCTTACAAAGTCTTGGGTCATTGTTCCAGAGATGTTGAAGCTCAAAACTTACATGTAGCCTTGAACACTAATTTTAATAATGTGTCAGTAACTGGGCAGGATGCCCAGTTACCAATATTGTGGTTTTTATTTTATATTACAGCCCCAAAGATGGATAGTTTTGTGTGTCAAAATATTTCAATGGCCAAAGAAGTCTTCCAGCGTACTTATGAATTCTCAGCAGATCTGTGTCTCACAGCAGCAGCTGTGCCTCAGTACCAATGATAAAGAGAAAGCTCCTGGGGAAGAGCAGAGGGGAGAGGGACACAGCTTTATATGGTGCAGGAAGAGTGGAAACCACTGGGGAAAGCAGCGTTCTGTTTACCCAGGGTGCCTCAGTTTGTATGAGTGCTTTACCCAAGGGGGAAGGACAGAAGTGTGTGCCTGTGCAATAAATAAATAAAATTCCTTAAATAAATATTTCTGCCTGAGAAATGTGTTAGGATGAGAAATTTCAGCCCAGTACTCTTGGTCAAACAGAAGTCCTTGGGAGCCCCTTGTTCTCATCGTGCTCAGCAAAGGAAGCTGCACTCACCCAGTCAGGACCACCTTCTTCTAAGGTGGCCTTCATTTTGTTGGTTTACAAGGCAAATATGGGTATCCCTTTAGACTTCTCATATGGGCAAAACATTCATTTAGTGCCCCAGCACCAAGAAATTATCTAGTCACAGCAGTGATTTTAGAAGGTGCTAATCTCAGCCAGCAGGGTGATGGAGAGCCTTTTGTTAAAGGGATTATCACAAGGCCTCAAAAGCTTTGATAGGAAGAACACATCCAATGACAACACAGAGGCTCCTGGATCAGGAACTGACCTTTACAAATTTCACAACCTGAATCTCAGGACTGGCACAATGGAATTGCTTTGATAACAGTGCCTGGCAGTACAAACAAGAAGTTTGTATCTCTGGTTGGGCTTGCCAAAGTGGAAGGTAGCAATTCAGGTACTGGTAATTTGGCTTTTCTTTGCTGCTGAAGGCAAATATCAGACTGACTTCTTTCACAATATCTAACTCAAAATAACTAATTTTTGCAGGAGATCTTAGTGTAACTTCTGTTACCCCTTTTTTTTTTTTTTCCCTAATCAAACTGTAGCAGTTTAATAAACTTTAAAGCAACAAACCTGGTGCAATCACCATGATTTTTCCTATTTTTGTTGTTGTGCCTATTAAGTGTGGGAAATCCTTCTCCAGAACAAGGACTGGATGACTGGTGCTGTACAGATGCTGGCTCTGTGAGTGGGTGGAAGTGGCTGCCACAAGAGGTGATGTCTCAAGGGAGGTCTAGAAGAGAGAGAACACGCCAGGAAGTCCAGTTCTGGTTCCTGCACAAGGCAGCCTGGAAATGTCCATTGGTGTGGAGCTGAGCCCGCAGCACCCAGCCGTGCCTGAGCTCCGGGAGCTGCAGACAAGCACTGAGGAATGCCCAGCTTTTTCATTCCTAAATATCTGGCAGCTTGTCACCTTTTAAGAACAATGGAATGTCAGTCTTGCCCCGGTTTGGCAGGAACACAAGTCTTAAAATACCATAATTTCCCCTTGCTGGGATTATTTTTGCTGCCGGTTGATGAGCGCTCTGGGACAGATCTGAGGCAGGCACCGGCGTCCTCGGTGCGGCTGCCCGGAGCTGTGACGTTCTGGTTTTCAGAAGGTGCGTTCTGACCTGTCTCACCGAACGGGTACCCTGGGCCGCGCTGTCTCGTCCCCTCTCTCCGGGCCCCGCCGTCCCGGCCGCGGAGCCGGGGCCGCCGCGGGTCCCTCCCTGAGGGCGGCCCGGCCCAGGGCGGGGCGGCGCGCGCCGGCCGCAGTCTGCCGCCGGCGGAGGGAACGCGCCGGGGCGGGGGCGAGCGCGCGGCTCCGCGGCCCGGGGCAGCTGCGGGGGCAGGGTCCGGCAGCGGGGCGGCGGACGGACCGACAGACAGACCGAAAGACACACCGACGGGCCGGCGCGGGTGTCTGCGGCCGCCATGGAGGTGTGCGAGAGCGGCGGGGAGCAGCCGCCGCTGCTGCACTGGGACCGCAAGCTGAGCGAGCTGTGCGAGCCCGCAGACCCCGAGACGCTGCTGAGCCGCACGGTGAGGAGCGGCGGGGGCGGGCGGCGGCTCCTGGCGGCGCCGGGAGGCCGGGGGTGGGATGGTTGAGACGCCGCCGTGGGCGGCCGCGTTTCGGGGGCCGTGGCGGGATTCCTCGGGCTCCCCGTGGGTGTCCCGGTGGGCGGCAGCGTCGGCACCGGGCGGGTTTGGCCAACAGGTGCTCCCCGCGCCCCTCGCCGTGACTGTCGCCCCTCGGGGGCTGCACCCCCGGGGGCCGGGGTGTCCTCGGGCAGGCCTTGGGGTCCCCTGTGCCCCGGGGGGTCTCAACTCCCTCCCTTCCGAGCCTGGCGGCGGCTCCCGGTAACCGGAGTGCCGCAGCCCCCGCTCCGTCCGTCGCCGCTTCCCCCGCCCGGCCGGGGCTTCCTCTGCGCCCTCGGCGACTGTCCCGGCTCCGTCCCGCTCCCCAAGTGCAGGAAGCAAGCGACACAAGTTTCAATGTTTTTGTTGTTTGTTTTTTGGCTGGAATCCCCATATTTTGGCTTGCGTAAAACGCATAATTAGGGCAGTTTTGAGGAAATATGTCTGTTGGTTCACTGTTACTCAGGAGGCTTCTGGCAAGCACAGCGATACACCTCTGTAAACCCCTGTAGGTGTAAATCCCGAGTGGAAGTGTGCATGGAGGTCTCCTGCTGGTGCGAGGCACGGGGCAGCCACGCTCGGTGTGGTTGTCGAGCACGTGCTTGGATGGAGACCCAGAGGAACATGGTGGTGGCGACTGGGATGTGGCAGTGCCCCAGGGATAGCGCTTGGCAGGGGCTGCCACAGGCTCCGCGCTTCTTCCTTGCACCCAAGAGGCTGATGTACAAATGATGTACAGGGTGATGTGCAAATACAGCCCCAGAGTGAGGCACCTGGCCCTCCATGGGAGCAGCGGGGATCCCGCGGCCACTGCCTCTGTGCTGATCTTGGCATTAGTCTTCGAAGGCAAACAAGGAAAATCTTATTTGTTGTGTGTGGTGTGTGGTAGTCTCACTGATCCGGGATTGCGACCATCACAAGCTCCAAGCCTCGTTCCAGCAGGAAGCGAGCCTGCTGCACGCCTGACGGTCTTTAAACAGTGTTTGGCTTCTTTGTCTTTGAAAGTTCCAAGCTTTCTTGCGCAATGTGTATCTTCTGGTAGATCCGTGGAAAGGCAATCCTGTTATGGTGGCTTGGGCTTTTAAAAGAGCCAGCAGGAGCACTTAACAATGGAAAGCTCTTCCTTCAAACTGCTGTTTTCTTGTGGTTTTTTTTGTTTTTTTTTTTTTTTTTTTTCTTTACCAACAAGGATGTTGTGAATTAAATGGGAGGCTCATTGGAGAGTGTTCCCCTTCAGATTTTACAGTTGTGCTGGCATGCTTCCTCTTGCTCTGTTTGGATCCTTGTGATGAGAATGGAGTTGCCACTCTTAACTTTTGTTTTCTTACTCAGTGTTCTCATGTCTTCTTTAATTAGTGCTTTGAAGGAGATCTTGCACTTGAGCTAGAAATTATGGCTGCAAGTGACATGGATATGTCTTTTCTGCCCTGTTTCAAAGAGCCTGAGAATTAAGTGTGTCATGATAAAGAAAACATCCTGTTTGTCTGGTAGATGGAAATGGGATGCTTTTCCCTTTTCTGTTTTCAAGTTTTATTGGGGATTTTCAGCTTTGAATGCTATGATGATGAGCATTTTATAAGGGGCAGTGTGTGGCTGGATCTGCAAAATATTGGGCTGTGATGACTTTTGTTGGGAGTAACACTGACATTGATTTGTTTTTGTTTGCTGTCTTGCTGATTGGGTCTTTTTAGAAGTTTAAGATTTCTTCAGAGACCCTCTTGAAGCCAAATAAAAAGCATTAAATCAATTTCTCTTTCTGATTGTTCTTGGAATTTTTCTGAAAGAAGTTTCAGAAAAAAAAAAGCAGCCTGACTAAATGCTATAAAGTAGGTGTAGTGAGATATTGCAATCTTTAAAGAAGAAAAGAATATGTATGAAATTGACATTCTTTAGAGTGAAAAAACCCCACACTTGGGCCTGTTGAAGTTTTTCTTTTGTGAATGTGCCCTGCCATGTGGAGGAGAATACCATGCTTGATACCATGAAACACAAGGTCTCTATTTACCTCTGGCCAAAACTTCATAGAATCATTTGAAAAACCCAAAACAAACAAACAAGCTCTCTGGATGAAACATCTGTTCTTCTCCTGGGCTGTGCTTTCCATCTTGGAGGACTGATTTGACCCCATTATTATTCTGCTGTTTGCAAATTTACTGCAGGGTTTTTCTGGAAGGATTGGGATGATGAGGAGACCCTTCCCGTACCCCCTCTGCAGGAGTGCCCATGCCCTGTGCTGTCACCCTCCCAGCCAAGGAACACGGGTCCTACAGCATCTTCACACACTCCTGAGCTGCCCCTTAGCTGGATGTGCAGGTCTGCATCCAAGGAAACTGTGGGCTTGAGAAAAGTCTCTGGGACAGTCATGCAGTCCTGGGGAGGTGCAAGCTGGACTGTCAGGGGGAGAAGATGATGATGGCTGAGGGGAGAGCTCACAAGCAGGAAGAAGGGTCAGTGTCATTCCACAATCAGACCTGTGTGTACAGACTGGTGAGGGTGAGAATTCAGTGCCAACTGCCTTTTGTGTGTTTTGAGTTGAAATTTAACCTTTCTATGACCAAAAAGGCTGTTCCTGGCTCTTGTTGATTTGATGCTAGCAGACAAGTGTGAAAGTATGCATACACTTAAAAACTTGACCTCTATTTTAAACTGTTCCAGCCTGCCTTAATTACCAGGGCTGAAATCCAACCTCCTGGGGATTTACATTTCTCTTTAACAGCTGATGATTTCACCAGTGCCTGGAGCTGTGTGAGGAACCCTTCCCTCACCTCACTGGTGCTGTTGGTGATATCGTCAGCTGTACCTGGAGAAAGTGGGGCCTCGAGGAGCTCAGCTCTGCTATTGGCAGGCAGGAATCCTGGAGGTTAAAGTCTCGTTAGAGTCCTCAAAGTGCTCACCTGGATGCCAGATAGCTTTATAGCAGTTATTTTTCCAGAGTGGTTTCCCATGGAAGCAAAGGCTGAAAGGTTTCCCAGAGGCGTGTTCATGGTATGTGTCATATGTCTGCGTTATATAATCTTCACCTGTGCTGTAGCTTGTTGTGACTGTGTTGGTAGTGCCCTGTGCTGGCACCATGCAAGGCAGTTTATTATTATTGTTATTATTGTTATTATTGTTATTTTGTGCTTTGTGCTATATTTGTGCTATAATATTGTATTATTATTATTATTTTGTGCTTTTTTTCTGGTAATTGAACAGAAGGGAAACACAACACCTGCCACTGCCCAAGGGGAGCAGGAGTTTGGCCAGGTAGCAAAACCTCCAGCTTCTTGCTGCTGCTGTTACTTTCCATAACACACAGGTGGGCCTGAAGTGGGAGAGCTCTATTGGAGGCTCTGGGGTTCTGCTGGAATTGATCTGTGGTTGGACATGGCCCAGCTGGGACCTTCTGTGACAAGTGTCACGTCTGAGGCGGATGGATAAGTCTGACAAACACGCCATGAAATGCCAACTACCTGTCCCATTGCTGGATGGGGGCTGAAAGGCAGGTGGTTCTTGGACATTTAAAACCTCTTTATGTTATACTGAGGAGGCAGTTTTATTTCCTCCCCCCCATTTTCATGGCTATTTTAACACATGGGCTGCTGCTTCCAGATGGTAGCAAAATGCAGTGGTATGCAAGCATGGATGTGATCTTGGCATGGCACATGCAGAACTGCAACCGCCCTACAGGTATGGGGGGACAGCAGCTGGCTCAGATATTTATGTTTAAATTCCTAGATGTCATGTCCTGGGTGTCTAGATGAGTGGTTAACTGGAAGGTAACTTCAAATGCCAAGTAGCCCAAATGGGTTATTTGGTAAAGAGCCTGACTATTGAACTTGGAACTCATGAAAGCATTGAAATTAGTGAAATGTCACATTGCTGCTGCTCTTGCCTGAGTGGTGTCTGAGCCCTGTGATCCTTTTCCATGTTGCTGGTGATGCTGTGGGCAGCTCAGCCCTGGGCCAGAGGTGTAGTGTAGGTTGGAACGAGAGGAGGAGGCTTCCCGAGCTGCAGCTACCAAGTTTCAGTCTCCCTGTGAAAGCAAAACCAGAGGTGAAGGTTAATGGTCAGGGCTGTGATTGTCATCTAAGATGGGCTCGGGAAACTCTGAGCTGGCCTTCTTTCCTCCCCATCACAAACCTCTGAACCTCAGCAGTGCTTGCCTGGTGACTCATTTCCTCTGCCACAAAAACGGTGGTTGCTGCTACTTTATGTTTCTAATGACTTCTGCAGGAAAGCTGCTTCTGGATGAGCTGCAAGGGAGTGCCTCGAGCTTTTGGAGTACGGCAGTCATTATTTTAATGGATGACAGGGCTTGATTTTTACCGTCTGTGTGTATTTAATTGAAAGCTGCGGTTGCTGCAGCGGGTGTGGATGTGGAGCTGGCTGTATCTCATTGTGTGGTGGCTGCATGTAGCTCTCTGGTGTCAGTATAGTTGGATCCAGTTTTTGTTTCATTTTGGTAGAGAGAGAAGTACTTCATTTATTTGCACATGGGGTTTGGTCTGTTGCCCACAAACCATGAAGTTGAAATCCCTCATTCTTTCTTCTCTATACACCTGCAGCTGGCTTTATGTAAAATGCTTATACAGTCAGTACTTGTAAAGATTTTTCCAAAATTGCAGTGAGGAGGGGAAATGAGAAAGTGAGATTTTTAAATAGTTGTATACAGAGTCCATACAAAGCAGTAGTGTTAAATTTTGTCAATGACTTTCCATATCAGAAAAAAAGTCAACATCACAACTGCTGAACAGCAAAATTAGTTGTACATGGTGCCTTGCACTGAAAACCATTTCTCCTCCTCGTTTTCTTCCCAAATTTAAATAAGAAAACTATTCCAGTTTGCTAAGAGACATGTCACTTACTTGTAATGGGTCTAACTGATCTACAGTTCCTCTAAAAGCTGAGATAAACAAAAGTAG